CCCGGTTCTCACCGGCCCCCGCCGGTTCGGGGAGCTGGAAGTTCTCGCAAGGCAAGTGGAAGCCGAGTTCGGGGTGGTGCCGCCCGCTGTGGGGCTGTCGGTCTGCGGTCATTTTTCTTATGTCACCCCTGGAAAAAAAAACACAACAAAACAAACAACACAAAAGAACCTAAGCAAAAACAAACCAAACCGGAAAGTCTGGGCCTGGTCTGCACTGCAGGTTGATCCCTGCCAGCCAGAAATAAGGAGCCTTTCCCCAGGTAGCCTTCGGGTCTCTGGCCAGTAGTTTTCATAAAGAAACCCCAAACTTGTAGGAACATTACTGTCTTTGAGGTTTCTCTCTGTGCTCAAGTGATTGAAATTGATAGATGCAAAGAGATGGCACCATGGCACATGCTGTGTTTCCTTTGGAAGCCAAGCTGCATGATGGCAAGTATGAATGAGAAGAAAACAGGAGGCATTAAGACTTGAGAGGTTTTTCTGTGCTTGAGAAAGTTACTTGGGTAAGCTCAAGACTATGGAAAGCAGTCTTTTTGATACTAAGGTTGCAAAACCTTGTTACTATTTAGCAGCAAGCTGTTGGCTGGGAGAGGATACACTGCAGAGTAGTCCTGTGGGAGTGCTGGTGGGTGAAAAACTGGACATGAGCCACCACTGTGCAGTCACAGCCCAGAAGGCCAATCACATCCTGGGCTGCATCAAAAGAACTGTGGCCAGCAGAACGAGAGAGGTGATTCTGCCCCTCTACTCTGTCCTGGTGAGACCTCACCTGGAGTATTGCATCCAGCTCTGGAGCCCCAGTGCAAGAGGGATGTAGACATATTGGAGCATGTCCAAAGGAGGGCCACCAAAATGATCCGAGGGCTGGAGCACCTCTCGTATGAGGACAGGCTGAGGGAATTGGGGCTGTTCAGCCTGGAGAAGAGAAGGCTCTGGGGGGACCTTACAGTGACCTTCCAGTACCTAAAAGGGACCTACATGAAGGCAGGGGAAGGTCTACTCAAAAGAGTTTGTAATGATAGACATGGAGTAATGGTTTTAAACTAGGAAAGGATAGATTCAGACTTTTATATTAAAAAACATTTTTCTAATATAGATTACTATATTAATATAGATCACTGAAATGGGCTGCCCAGAGAGGTGGTGGAGGCCGCATCCCTGGAACCTTTTAAGGTCAGGCTTGACGGGGCTCTGAGTGACATGACCTAGGTAGAGATGTCCCTACTTGTGTGGGGAGGTTGGACCAGATGACCTCTAGAGGTCCCTTCCAGCCTATAACATTCTATGATTCTATAACCCACTCGTTAGTAAGTCTGTGACTCCAGTAAAAACCCATATTAAGACCCAGAGGAACAGATTTGCTGTTCAACTTTTTGTCTTGGATAATATTCCCATGACAAGCATACACAGTAGTGGAATTCAGTCTTTAGAGAAAGTGTAAATTGAACCTGTTCCAAGCTCATTCAGGCCCCCCTCAAATGTGACTAGCAAAGCAGTGCTAAATAGCGTAGATATGGGTGCCTGGGAAAGATGTGAGATTTTAGAGTTACACTAACAGGCTACACAATGCAAATAACCAGCTGCGGGGCCTCATTGTTACGTGTTACTTAATGTAAAACTCCATTATTTTTTACTTTTCTATCAGAAATAATAATAATTAATTTTTATTACAGATGATCTTCAATGCTGATGAGGCCCACAACATAGTTAAGGAGGTAGGTTTTAGCTACCAGCTGTATTTCAAAGAAATTCTTTACCTTACCTTGCACTATAGTGAAAGCAGTTCCTTTCATTGAGCGTCTTAGATAAATTCAGCCACGTATGGAAGCATTATTTATATAAAATAAAAACAGAGTTTCATTTGGAGCTGCTTTAAGCTGTATCTAATTGTTGTCTTTAGTGACCTAAAGAGGAGAAGGTAGATGAGAATTCTCATTACAGTGGAAACATACGGGGCAGCAGTCACAAGCTGCAAGGGAAAGTCACTCCATTTTTTTTTTTTTTCCATCCCCTTTATCCAGCTAGGGAGTAAGTTAGTCACTAGAGAGGCTACAGGAGGAGCTTGTACAGTCTCCATCCTTACAGATTTTTAAAAATTAACTGGACAAGTCCTTGAGCAATGTGATCAAACTTGGAAGTTAGCCTTGGCTTGAGCAAGGGCATGTGCTGCATGAGGTTGTTACTCTAGCAATGCATTTGAAAAAACAATTTTTACACAAAAATGCAGGTTGGAAGTGAGTAGCCTAATGATCTAAATAAAATATCTAGCTGGAAGGTGATTAATGGAGAAGCTGTGGCATACAGGTGCTGTCAGGTTTTGCAGGGAAATACCATTTTGAGGAAGGAATTCCTAGAGGGGCTTTGCAGGTCGTTTCCCAGCTGCCCTGTCAGGAGGGGAAAGGGCTGTAATCCTGGAGCTGCTCTGGTACACAACAGCAGATTCTCGGATGACAGATAAATGACAATTCAGGCCTTTATGTAACTGTCCCTGCCTTGAAAGGCCAAATACAGTATGACAGTGTCTCCAGTCACTGGGACTACAGCCAAGTGTTTCTGCCTCTGACTGAAAGCTTAACCAGAGCTGAGAAGCTCTCGCACTGGGTACATCTCTGGAAGGACAAAAATCCCCAAGGGATCTTGTTGTCCCTCTTCTGCCTTCTGTTCTGTTGTGTGAATGTCTGTATCCATTGAGACCTTTGCCCAGCTTTATATGCTGTGATCAGAACTAGCCTGTTTTTTTAAGATCTGGGGTGCAAATCTGTTAGGCTGGTAGTGGGTGGTCAGTGTGTGGGATTAATTGCACTGAATCGGAGGAGAGAGTTTTATTTTACTTGCCTGTTTCAGGTGTGCATTTCTTAACCAAATTTCTCAATTTTAAGTAGTATTCATCAGTGCATAATTCTGAATTTCTTAGGAGTAGAGAATGCAGTGTAAGAGTTACAGCTAGAGAGGCTTTCTGTCCAGTCACTTTAAGTTCGAGCAAGGGTTGGCTCATCTGTAGCTGTAGGAAAACATGCAGTTTTCAAACAGTTTAGGTATTTCTTTTGCTGCAAGATACAAACCTTGATTATCTCTCACTCTCATACCTTCCTCATCTTTTAAGATGGAGTATGCATTTCACTGTTGTCACTCTAGCTCTGAAGACTTTAGTATATTGCTCGCAGGCTCTGGAAGGTTGGCCAGCCCAAGCTGACATTTGTTTGAGTAGCACCATTTCCATTACAGTAGCTTCTGAAAGCCAAGTAGGCAGCCCTTAGAAGCAGTGGAGTGTGTTACTATCTTCACTGGTAAATAGATCTCTTCACTTAACCTGGGACTGAAAGCGTATGCGTATGGCTAAGGTCTTTCCTACAAGAAATATTCAGTCAGAACCTCATTTTTCCCCATGCAATAATATGGTAAATATGTACTAAAAAAATAAGTTTCCGAGCAGGCTCGTTTTGCTTCCCATTCAGCAACTGATACCTGACGAGCCCAAATGATTTAAAGTAATCCAGTTACCAGATAAAATTCCTCAGATTGTGCAAGACATTTTAAAACTCTATATTTTGAAGTATGTTTACTGTAACCTTTTTTTTTTTATCTCTATTTTAGTGCATAGAAAGTGTTATAGGCAAGGCAGATTATAATCACAACAAAGTCAACCAGTGGACTGCTGCTATAGTGGAACAGTCACTGACACATCTAGTGAGACTTGGAAAAACATACAAGTACATTGGTAAGTACAAGCAGTCATACTTGTACCACATACAGCCACCAGAAGTATTTCCTGAAAAGTTCATTTGAGTGCAGTGCTGTATTCAGGAAGTTTTAAAATGTTCACAAATCAGAGCGGGTGTCTGAACTCTTCCATTATACAGATTTCTAGTAATACCTATGGTGAAACCATGGCAGTGTCATCTGGGCTAAGCATGCTGGCAACACTTAGTGTCCTGACTGTTAAGCAACCCCAAACCAATGATACCAACTTGTTGTAATCAGTTCAGGAAATAATTGCTTGTCCTAAACAGAATTTTCAGTAAGATTAGGCTTTCTGTCAATAGAGACATCTCAAAGACTTCTACTTAGTCCTCTACACAAAGTCATGTCCTATTATATTTATGTATGTGTCTATGGAAGGGAAATGGAAGCAAGTAGAAGCTTAACCTACTTCAGTCCTTCTGTGGATCTCACAGCAGGTGTTTGCACTCTTCTGTTTTGAAAGATTGTCATTGGTTTTATGACAGCTGCAGGTAGGTCTAGAAGTGCCGCATGTTACCAGAGTGTGGTTTCAGAGAGGAGTCAACCAATATTTTTGGAGACAACTCTCATCAAGTGTGACTTGTGCTGTACCTGTGAGGACAGCACCTGTATTCCTGTTCCGAGGTGGACATGACACGAGGCATATCTAAGTAGTTTAAAAGATAAAAACCATAATCCTATTAGTGAGCATTTTGTTAAAGCTGTTGTCTTTATGTGAGTAAAAATAATTGTGAAATGACTACTAGGTTCTTGAGGAAAATACTGGGTGTGAGGAGGTTGTCAAAAAAGATTTTGACTTAGCTGAATGGCACCTGCCAGCCATTTCCATTTGAAAATGTAATGCAGGCTTGGGTTCAGAAGTACTGAATGATTCACCTCTTCTGCTTGAATAATTAATTCCTTGAGTTTATGACTGTGTCTTGCAGTAACCTGTGCGGTGATGCAGAGGAGTGGAGCTGGTCTTCACACAGCAAGTTCATGCTTCTGGGATACAACAACTGATGGTAAGTTTCCTCATTCAAATTAAGAATTTCTAGTAAAATAAATGTTACTTATTACTCTGTCATAATAGTTAGGTTGAACATATTCAAGAGGGATTGTGGAAGCAGTTGCTTACAGAATTGGGTGCTTGTTTACAATCACAGTAGAAATATTTTATTAGCAGTCATTGTCTGTATTAAGAGTGATTGCTTTGTAAATAAGTGCCTTCTTTCTGAAACAACAGTCAAAACACTTAATCCATGTCAGTAACCACAGATCAGTTGAAGAGGCAGTAAAACTTTGCTCACAGTATATGTAAGTGGGCAGTCGTAAACATACCTGCCTGTCCCCTTATAGGGGACAGCACTACTTTGGAGGAGAACAGAACTTGGTAAAAAATAGAAATAGTTTGACTAACAGTGTGTGTTTCAGTTGCTTCACTATTAGCCAGACTTTGGATGCGTTTTATCGCTTCTAAATTAATTTTAAATGCATTTTTTCCCAGGTTCAGATTATTGTGGGAAAACAAGGTTAAAATAATCCTCTGTCACAGACTCAGAAAGGTCTTTTCAGAAGAGAGCACCAAGATTTAATTTTTAAATAGAGGTAACATTGGAAAGTCAACCACAGTTAAAAAAATAAAAATCATAAACTGAAGTTATGTAAACAAGTACAGTTTAATCTTCATGTGTCTTTGGCTTGGAAGGCATTGATACATTGATGCAATCAAAGAGGAAAAAATATGGACAGTAAATAGGCTAGAATGTCTTTGCTCCAGCCTTTTTTCTAATTTCCTGTCTCATCTTGCCCATTTTAGCATGAGATTTGCAAGGATTTTCACAAGTCCAGCTTTTAAAGAAAGATACCAAAATTGTGTCTTCCTGGAAACCATCTTAAGCATGCAATGCTTGTGTTAGGTAGCAAACAATGTACGTGTTAACGAAAAGGTTTTGAGGAGTGTAGACTGTTTGTAACCAAGATGACTTAATAGTGTTTACCTTAAGTCACAACTGAATTATTCATACTAATTTGACATAACTTACACTGTGATAATGGGAATGTAGTAAAGACACTGGCATTCTATTTTTATTTTGTAATAATCTCTTCTAGGAACCTGCACAGTGAGATGGGAAAACCGAACAATGAGCTGCATTGTCAATGTGTTTGCTGTTGCTATTATCCTGTAGCTGACGGGGAGATAAATACACCGAAGCCTTTAAAAAAAAAAGCATCCAAACACAGCTAAATATTTCAAACCATTATTTGTTTTCATATGAGGAGCATACAGAAGTTCTCTACAGAGAGCATACAGTCTAAGCCAGTTCTCATAGGTTAGTTTTCTGAATGCTAGCAAAAAAATTAAAATATATATGTATCTATGTAAAGAGAAAGTTTTAGTAATTTAAGTATTCAGAATTATGTTAATGAGAAGATACCAAGATGATCAGTACAATTTATATCGAAGCTAATATGAAAGATAACTCTATTTAAGAGGAGCAAAACACATCAAATGAAAGGAAAGGTCAAAGGGCAAGCACAACCTCTCAGGATTATGGTGCACTTGGAAGAAATTATGAACACAGTTCAGAGCAGATATGCTGTAAACAACACTGGTGCTTCCTGGTTGGTTAAAGGAAGCTGACTGTCACATTGAATGCTGGTGCTCGTGAAATTGCACCAGCATCACTTTTCAGTCAAGTGTGAACATTTACATTGAATTGAAATCCAGTTAAGCTTTTTCCCCTGGAGGCAGAGGATGACTTCACTGGGATGAAGGTGAAACATACCTAGTCCTAGCAGAATTCTAATTTATCTTCAGAATTAAAACCATAGTATTTGTTATTGATTCAGGGAAACATGCTGGGGATCAGGCATCAGCCCTAAATTCACAGTTAATAAATCTGAAAACATTCTGAAGGTACTTAAATTTTATTTTATTCCATAACTGTGGAATTTGTGACAAGCACTTTACTGATATCTCATGCAGTACCCAGGAGCTAGGGCAGGAAGACTGAACCCACTACTCCAAGGAGGATTAAAGTGTTTGGAGAGAAGGCACACGCATTGCTAGAGATTCTTGTTAGCTTTGAAAGCATTTATCTTAAAGCAACATATCTATTCTTTATAGGAATGTACCATACCTTCGTGAAGTCTAGAATTGGATCTTAGTCCTACAAAGTGATACAGTTAAGTTTTAAGCGCTAAGAATTCCCCTTCTGTAAAGATTTATGCAAGTTCATAACTTTGCTCATCTGATGAGTCTTAACTTGAAATATTCCACATGGAAGAAAAGCATTTGCACACACGCAAGTAATTGCTGGATTGGGGCCTACGTTTTTGTTGATTAATGCACAAATTATATGATAGAGACATGTATCAATACCAAAAATGCCTAAATGATTGCTGCCACTAAGTGGCAGCTATGTTAAGTTTTTTCTCAGATGCTGCTTAAGGACGGTAATTTTTTGTTCTTGCTTCATATCTTTGGAAGAGACTGGTAACTACCTAACAGCTACCATAAGGCTGTTTGGGATTTTAACAAATGAGTATTAAAGCACTATTACAGTTCTGTTTGCATTTTTGGTTGGTTGGTTTGTTTGTTTATTGTTTCTTTCAGATAACTGACTATTAGGGCATGTAGCAAGTGTCCTGAACAAAGAACAAACAAAAAAAATATTTCATTGCTTAAATTATGTATACATATAGCTAGTGTGAGACTACAGAAGGAACGTGTGTGTACGTGTAACTCACAGTACTGTTCAGAATCTCTTGCTTTGCAGACAAATAGAGTTAGGCTTTTACCTAAGTGCAAGTAAAATTAATACTGTAATGCTGCATTTGCCTAACAGGCAAGTGTAGTGTGAAGCTGTGTGTGTTGTACTGGCCTTCAAATGTATAATAATCTAACACTGTTGAGGTTAGGACAGGAATTTATGAACTAGGTGCCAGCATCCAAGAGCCAAGTTGTGGAACTGACAGAAATGCAGTAGTTTCACTGATATTTGGGGTTGTGCAAAGTGAAAATAAGTGGAATAGCAACTGGTAAAGGTTTGGTGCGATTGCTACAGTTTAAGAGGTGGGTGAGTGGTGAATAAGAATAGTGGTGGCTGTTATCCCCCTCTAATGGGCATTTGGGTGCCATGGTCAGAAGAAATATTTGAAATAGCCACTTGTAATCTCATGTGGTATTTTTACTTTACTTGAGAATAAGATGTGCTGAGCAAGACTATCAGTTTAATGAGGCTCTGTCGCAGGAGAAACCTAGAAAATGCTGCTTATGTGTAAGACTGCTTTATTTTTCTTTCTACCAAAAAAAAAATAAAGTTTTGCCTTAGTTGTATTTTCTCCTTGTGTTCTTGATCAGTATAAACAGGAACTGAGAAAAATATTCCTCTTATTTTCTTTCACTTGTATACAATAATGAGAACTTGGGAAGTTCTTTGAAGTCATGTGTTCATTTCAGAGACAAGACCTCATCAAAGGCTAGTTCCCAGACTTGGCCTAATGTCTTACTCCCATTGTCTACTCAAACCTCTTCCTCTCACTGCTTGTCTTGATGATGCACGTTAAAGTTTTGTTATTCCAGAAAGATTGTTATGAAACTCTGGGAAAAGTGTTTTCATTCTGCATCATATCCTAGTGAATTTACCTTCTTTCCCAGCTTTCTTTTCCCCATCCTTTGTGGGTACAAAAGGCTATTTGTGTGTAATATAACTCTCAAAATGAATGCTGAACACCATTATTTGTTTTTCCAAGTAGTTTGTTCTCAAGGATAAAACTAGGAATTGCAGAATGTGAAAGCTTGGAACACCGTTTCAATGGTATTTTCTTTCAATACAATATTCTCTTAGTTGTTGCAATCAACTAAGTTGATTTGAGTTATTGTTAATGATTTTATTGTTGATAATTTTTAATGGAATTGAAGAGCTTGCATTAAGGTATAGCTGATATATATGGAGCTATATGTTCCTACATATATTTTATCACAAGTCACCTGTTATTCTTCCCATAAAGATTTTATTAATCTAAAAAAAAAAAAAAAAAACAAACCAAAACAAAACGGTGAAGGTAAGGGAGCAGATTCATTACTTTCCTTTTCTTTGCCTGCCAAACGTCTGCCCATAACTTGTTCTGATGACTGTCTTCCATTATACTCAAATCTTGGTATTTTCAATTTAGATTTATGCTGTCTAAAGCACTTCACAAAAGCCACTAAAATCCCAGCTTGTAGCTATTCTATTCAGAGCTGGACATGAATGTCAGAGCACTGTTATTTTACATACACCATAAAAGAGAGAACATTAATTATTGGTAGCTTATATGCATTAGTACCGTAGCTGCCACAGAGAAAATAAGAGGTTTGTTCTAATACAGACAGCAGATCCTTCAAAGAGGAGTGCAGCAGATCCTGTGATGAACAATTCTTGCCCTATTATTTGGATGCCTTTTGCTGCCTCCTATACAATTTGGCCAGGTTGTTTTGTTCCCATTTAATTTAGAAAGGTATTTTTTCTTGCCTAGTCATGATGTGACACAAGCACAGAGCCAGACTGTGTCCCTCATCAGAGTATCCTGAGCCAGGAAGTTCTGCCTGTGTTTCTGCAGGACCTTCCCAGCCAGAAGCCAGCACTGGTTTGTCTCTCGGGGAGTATCTGAGCTCAGATGTGGTATTCTTTAAAAGTGGCAATAAACTCGGTTGCAGAGTGGCTCCCAAGCTGTGCAGTCACATTTGCACCATGCTGCACGTGAGCGGCTCTAGCCTGTAAGGGATCTGTGGATATTGGCCTGCAGGTGGAATGGTTTCTCTCTTCCCCCCACAATGGAAGGAAAGCTGCAGCCAAACACCATGTGCCCACCAAGGGAGCTTTTTCTACTCTGATGAGTAAAATCACTGTCAAGTAACTGGAAGTTTTAGCTCACGTGTTCCGTCAAGCATCTGTATTCGAACACAAGAAACATACTGTGACAGCAGCTTTGTTATGTAAAAGTTTTCTGAAAAGGAACAGAGCAGTGCCAGAGTGACAGTGCAAACACCCCTGTAACTCCCATCCCACCACCTGACCTAAGGAAAAGCAAAATTGGGGTTACAGATGCACACCTCACTGGTCATTATGGTTTGTGTCAGGTGCTTACAGTTACTCTCTCATGCAAAGAAGCTGCTGGGGCCTGTGACAGATGCAGTTGACCACCCTTTAACAAATCAACACCAGTTCAATGTAGGGTCTCAAGGAGGAAAAAGCCTGAGCAGTAGCCAGGTCAAGAGCTCTAGGAAACCCACAAAGGAGCAGAGCAAAGAAAGTTGTGGAGACAAGGACTCTTGTGCATATCTTTCCCATTGCGTGCAATTAGACGATGAGCCAATCACCTTATCCCCTAAATATGGTATGACAAGATCTTTTATCAACTACAGATCGGTGGATGAGCTCAATTTGAGTTCTTCTGGACAGCAACTGGACTGCATGCCAGGCAGCTCTCCCCTTGAGCAGGGATACCTCTCAGTGTTGGAAGATGTTAGTAGTTTAGCTTAAGTAGGTAAGTTTTAAATAGAATTAATCACTTTGAGTTACAATGTTGTGTGATTTAGTATACTGTTTGATTAGCTTTACTTACTTAGCATGAGTAGCTAGATTTCTGAAGCCTTAGGCTGCAAGCTATAAATTTCCACTTAGAGTTACTGAAAATGTACCTACTTAATCAAAACAGGGCCTCCAGAACCTGTGTAAATCACAACATAAGGAGGCTTCAAGGCTATGGCCATTAACAGCAGGTGCAACTAGACAAGATAACTGCCTGGACAGAGACAGTGAAGTAATTCAACAAGGAGTCAGAAGATGTCAGACCAGAATAATTTTTTGCACCCATTGAGGAACAAGAAGGCCAGACCCAAACGCTACTGTTGGACCGAACTGTCATGTGAGGGGCAAGTGAACAGTCTGTTAGGGCATGATTGCCCAGGGCTTTCTTTGTTCCTCCTTTCTTTTTCCATGGGATCCCTTTCTGGAGATCCCTGGCACGAGCTGATTGTGCTGCTGTACCACTGTTGTAAACTCTGATGCTGAGAGTCTGCTTTGGGAAACCTAAGATTCAAACTTTGGATCACACTACCACTGGGCAGAAGGTAAGTGATTTGGTAACAAGCCTGCTGAAACTTTGAAATCTTAGCTAAATGACATAAAGGAATGAGCTGACACTTCTAATACTTCAGCCATAAACACATATAATCCTTTAGCCCTAAATACAT